AAATTAGTAGCATGTTAGAATTTATAGTTTTACAGTATGTGCAATGTAGTTACAATGTAGCTATGGCTAGACAGAAAATTTTATACAGCCACTTGTACCTTAGATGTCTTTAACTTGCTCTGCATTTGCATTTTTGTCACAACTAACCAGCTTTATTTCTTTCTTTCCAGATCCACTGCTTTCTGTGGAGAACTTTGCTCAAGTTTTGTGTGAGGATCTAGAGCTTCCAACAAGCTCATTTGCTCCAGCAATCATTCAGTCCATCAAACAACAGATTGATAACTTCACCACTGATGTTATACCACAAGATGAAGAAGATAGAAGAGTCATCATTAAAGTGAGATTCAATGCAATTTCTCTTCCTCTACTTGTTTACTTTATTTGGCTGACACTGCATACTTTACATACTTGCTAATTATATTTATAGTTTAGCAATGATTACATTATAAGTAATTTATGACATTCCTATTCCCACTCCTCCCTTCAACTAATGCCTCCCTCTTATTTCTTCCATCTTTCCTTACATCTTCTCTTCCCTTTTTCCTTTTTTCTTCCTCTGTCTTTCCTTCAGCTCAATATACAAGTAGGTAATATATCACTAGTAGATCAATTCGAATGGGATTTATCCAATCCTCTTAATGTGCCTGAGGAATTTGCAAGGAAACTATGCCAAGACTTGGGACTCGGAGGAGATTTTGCTACTGCTATTGCTTACAGCATACGAGGGCAACTAAGCTGGCATGCAAAGACATATGCATTTAAGTAAGGACTTTAACTACCACAAGTAATATAGGGTTTAAATTTTATGATGCATCCACATCATTTTGAACCTTATGTGTACAATCACTAAACACTTAATTCTCCCTTTCTCTATTCCTCCTCCTCCTCTCTCTCTCTCTCTCTCTCTCTCTCAGTGAGTCTCCTCTTCCTCCCATTAAGTTTCCAGTACGCACTCTCTCTGATGCAGAGACATGGGGTCCATCAATCCAAATACTTACTGATGCAGAGATGGAAAAGAAAATGAGAGACCAGGACAGGAACACTAGAAGAATGAGGAGACAGGCTGGACCCAGTTGGTGACATTCAAACACACTCACTCTCTCCCTCTCTCTCTTTTACTTATTCATTTGATAATAAATCAATTTCCATTATTAACTGATAAAGTGTATTTACAAGTGATTGTAGGTGAAGCTGGTCGGTAGTTTTTAGTTTAAAGTTGATTGCTAGTCTTCTTTGCTATCATCTTCAGGAACACACTAAAAAAAGAGAGAAAGAGTACAACATCTGATTTAAACCATACTGCATACACTGAGCAATCAAGAGTACTTGTAATGAGGCTATGATGTTTATGGATAAGCAATTTTTACAAAAGTAGCTCAAATTTAAAAGGCCACTTAATTTTGCAAATATTTACAATTTGTGAAACTTTTACTTTTTTACCCAGCTAAAGCCTAGTTCCATTTTACAGTATATACTTGTACAATCATTCAGTCCAATCACTTACCAGGTATTCTACAAAGCAAAGTTGTTTATCCTCAGTGACTATCATGAACTGCAATGAGAGAAAACCTCTAGTGTCCATCCTTAATGCTATCTTTGATGATGGACTAAGTGCCTTAGCTGAAGGCTTTAGTAATGCAAGCTTGTATCTGAAGTGAGAGGGAAGGATAGAGATTTAGGCCACGTTTACACAGCAACGAAAACGATGCAATCCGTATAGTTTTGTGCCTGTTTTACGCTTCTGTTTACAGAAACTAATGAAAACGTGATATAATCTTGATAGAACTCTATAGAAACGAAAACGGTGTTCAAAGTGGATACTTTAACCAATGCGCTTTGCGTTGCTGTGTAAACATAGCCTTAGAGGGAAATAGGAAGGAGAGATGTCAATAAAATAATAGAAACCAAAAAATAGGAGAAGGAAAGAGGAACATGTCCAAAATAATGTACTTGTTCTTTTGAGTTGTTTTGCACTCAAATACTTCAACCATATCAGACTCTTTAGGATAATCAAACTAAAAAATAATAAGTTGAAAATATTTAAACTAATACAGTGTGAATTTACAGTAGTTATTCCTACCTGAGTGGTCCCTGTATATCCATGAGTAGACAGTCTAAAATTTGGTTCTTCCTCTGACATGTAAATCTCAATAAATTCACTACTCAAATCCAACTCATTGAATGTCTCTCTCATACACTCTGACTTTAATAATGATTACAATAATGGTGATGATAAATTACTGTATTTTTATTTACTTTAATGATCACTTTATTGCAAACGTTTGCTGATACAAAATCAAAGTCAAGTGTTTCATCAGCTTCTGAGGTTTGAATTGAACACTCAGTGACCACTTCATTCTCTTCAAGACTACAAATGAGAGAGAGAAATGATTAAAATAGTGCAATTAAACAGTTTAAAAATTAAAATGATACGATTGATACCATATAGCAGGTATATTCCATAGAATTTTAATTGTTATTTTTGTTCTCATTCCTTGTGGACAAATATTTTCCAAACAAAAAAGGTGTTGCATCACTGTTATGTGCGCAAAATGGCTGCTTAGAACGAAATTAAAATGATCAAAATCTCTAATCCTGCTTTACAACATTTTCCCAGATAAATACCTGCTATATGGCATAAATTTAGCTATTGTAGAAGTGAATGCAGCCAGAAGTGCAGATTTTTTTGAGTTGCTAAAAATTGTGAACCCAGCTCAACCTGCTGTTGTATACTCATCTCATAATAATTACAATTATTACTATTATAGACCTCTTTGGGTGAGAATGAATTACATAAAAAAGAATGATATACCGCAAGGGGTGTACTGAGGCTGGGTTGACTGTGAAATAACTTTTGTGGACGGCAACTTTCCATGGAGTGTGAATGGGCTAATGCAGAAAGCAAGTTGTAATAGAGAATGTGCTACATATTGTACCAAATCCCTTTTTAAGAGATACCTAGCAGCAACCATTCTTTCCTCCAACCAGCTTTTGTAGCTTGAACAAGCTCCATGCCAAAGGAAAAAAAATTGGTCTTGGCTTTTCTTCATTCATCCTCCATTGAATTTTGCCATCCAAAATGGCGGCCAATTATGATGCAAAGGTGGATGCTGAAAAAAGTAATGATATTCGTAATGAAGGCCACGGTCATTCTCACTTGAGGAGGTCTATTAGATTAATTATCGTTTAAAACTTAAATGCACAATATTGTGTACAATACGTCCTCGATTATCCGAACACCTTTGTGCACTTTTATTTGGAGAGATGATCAGATAGCTGAAATAGTCTGGATAAGTGAAATACAGCGCAGAATACAGTACACCGACCTATCCTATACTTTTTGAAGAGTAAATGTGCATGACTTTTCTTTCACTAGCTCGCAGAGCATCTCAGGCTTCTCTTTAATGGTATTTCTCTTGGTTAAGCTAGATAGGATCCCTGCTGCAGCAGCCATTTAAACCGGTTATCAATAAATTAACTACTCTGAGCATGAGCATTAGAGACAGCCATGCGTTTGGATAAACGAGGGTTCGGATATAAGAGGTACGGATAATCGAGGACGTACTGCACTTTACTTTAAATAGCAATGATTAAAATTAACGTACACTAATTGAAGTGGAGTCCCATATCCATCATAGTACAATCTTAAAGATGTGTTTGCTTCATTACCAAAAATACACAAACATTCCTATTTAATTAAAAAGAGGACCAATCTTCAAAAATTATTTCACACAAAACAATCCTTACAATTAGAACATTAAGGTCAATATTAAATATCAGTGTGGAGTCCTCATTGTAGTTGTAGGCTTGAAAGAGATCTGATTTTACAAAACAATTTGCTTGTACACACTTTGCCTGCTCTACTGTCACTCTCAATCCAGTGGAACTGATAAAGCAGGTTGCAGTCTAAAAATTGTATATATAGTCTAAGTCCCTACTGTGGTTTT